CCCTGGGAAGGGCCAGGCAGGATTGCTGTTCACACGCGTGTTCTTTCTTGTGTAAATGGGATCTGGGGGAAGCCCAGAAGCCCCGGGATTGTGGGGTGGGAGTTGTTTAGGTTGTTCTCCTCCAGCTGCTCCCTGCACCAGGTCTGGGTTGTGCAGAGCCAAAGGAGGCCGTTGAAATGCTGCAGGGAGAGGCGTAGCTGCCCTGGGGGGGGGGGGGGTTCCCAGGGTTTGTGCCTGCTCTGAGGAGGGGGAGAGGAAAGAGCCGGGGTGGCAGCACATGATGGAGGTGCATGGAGGGGCCCCAGAGCAGGGAGGGGAATGCGGCCTCAGACACTCCCGGGTGAAAGGTGGTCCCGGGAATCACTCCTCCTCCTCTGCCCCTCCTTCCAACCCTCCAAGTGAGTTTACAACGATTCGCACTGGAGCTGCAATACGGAGCAGGCCCTGTAAGACTCCTCCTGCCTGCCCTTGCGTGTCCCCGAAACTCTTGTATCGAAGCAAAGGCTACATGAAAGCCCAAGCGAATGAGGACAAGACAGAAAGATTAAACCATTAATAAACAATATTGTTAAATAAAGTACAGAATTGCATTACGACCTGGGGCCACACTCCCACAGCCCCGGCTTGCCTGAGTGTGTGCCTGCGTGTGCCTGTGCGTGTGTGCAGGCGTGTGTCCAGCCCAGCTGGTCTCTGGGTGCAGAGCCAATGAGAGGCCAGCACTGAAGGGGGTGATCAAAGAAGCTGGGTGCACTTAAGGGCCTTGACCCATGGAATATCTGTGAGGAATTCAGAGCTTCAGGTGCTCCCTCTTTCCCCTCCCCGTTTCTTGTCCTTGCACTTCCTCAAGGCACCAGCTGCACTCTGCCTGTGTTTCCGGGTGCTGCAGTCTTTCCTTTATTGAGGAACAGCCCATTTCAGAGAGAGAAGGATTCTATCAGAGATCCTGCACAGGCCATGCCCAACCCCAGTGCAATTCCGGACGAAGGGAAGAATTCCCCCAGGAAAAGCAGGAATGCCCCTTTGCGGGGGCCGGTGTCCTTCCGGGCTGCTTCCTCCGCAGAGGGGCTGCCCTGCCCGCCATTCCTGCCCGGGGATGAGAGCGGCACTGGTCACTTCTGGGGTGGCCGGAAGCCTCTTCCACTCCGCCTTCCCTGCGCTTTCAGGATGCTCCCTTGCTGGTTCCCCTCGTGAGGAAATAGCAGAAAAAGCCTTTTCGTTTTCAAAGTTAAAGAGCTCAGGAAGGGCAGTCAATTGAATGGTGTTTTGACCGGTCATTCTGGGATGGCACCGTCCCTTCATCTCGGCTCAGAGCCTGCCCAGGACATGTTGCAGCTCATTTCTGGATCTGCCTGGGATCAAAAAGCACCTGAGAGCCCCCTGCCCCCCGACCCCACCAAGATGCGAAAGGGAAGCAAGCATGAACGTCCCTTTCAATACCTTTTTCTGCTTCTCTAAACTGAAAGTGAACTGCTCCTCCCTCTCCAGGATCTGCTGCAGCGTCGCCTGGAGAGTCTTACGGATGAGAGAGGAAGGATTTTGGCATGTAAAGCAGAGGCAGAAAGGGAGAAGCAGGCGCTGCTGGTAAGTGTCCAGAATGTGTCATGGAAGGGAAGGGGCGCTTCAGCCAGGATGGGTCACATGGAAGAGAAAATGCCGGGGAATCGAGAGCCCAGGGCAGCCCTTCCCTGCAGAGCACATGACACTGTTCAAAGCTGCTGAACCTATTCTGGCAATTATGCAAGAGGGGCCATTCCGAGGGGGGGTCCCTGAGCATCCCTCGCAAGACTGACCCCGTTTCCGGCTCCGGCTGCCCATTCCCGCTGTTCCCCACTCTCCTTCTTGCAGGTGCAAACAAAGGCAGAGCGGGAGGAGACGGTGGCTCAGTTCAGGTGCCTGCATCGGTTCCTGGAAGAGCTAGAGAAGCGTCACCTGGCCCAGGTGGACCAGCTGCAGGAGGAGATTGCCAGGAAAGCGGAGGACCACCTGGCCAGGCTTTCCAAGGAACTCTCTTCCCTTGAAGGCATCATGCGGGAGGTGGAGGAGAAGAGCCGGCAGCCGGCAGCTGAACTCCTGCAGGTAGGAGGGGGCAGGAGCCCCCACATCCCCCAAGGAGGAGACTCAGCCAGACGCTGCTCGCCTCTGCGTCTGTGGAGGGAGGGCCGAGGCAGGCAGTGCGGACCCCTTGACGGGGCCACCCTGCGGTGAAGCCCTTCATGAGACCCAGGCTGAAGCAGAGGGTGGTGCGGGGCTGGGGAAGCGACCGCAAAGCAGTCTGGCCTAGTGGTGTTGCCAATCCGGAAGGCAGGTCGGATCTAGAAAGATAGAAACATGGAAACAGAGCGAGTCAGAAGGGGCCTCCCGGGCCATCTAGTCTGACCTCAGGCACCAGCCGGCTCCGCTCACGACATGCCCACCATGTGGTTGTCCAGCCTCTGCTTGAATACCCGCACCGATGGGGTCTCAACGGCCTCTCGTGGAAGCCGATTCCACAGGAAGTGCTTCCTGGCATCCAAATTGAACCTTGGTGCCCTGAGCTTTGCTCCATTGGAGCGCGTCCTGCCTTCCTCTGCAGGGGAGAACAGGTCTGTACCCACCTCTGTGAGACACCCCCTCACATACCTGTATGTCGCCAACAGATCCCCTCTGAGTCTCCTCTTCTCCAGGCTGCAGAGACCCAGTTCCCTCAGTCTCGCCTCCTACGGCATCCCCTGCAAACCCGCCACCAACCTTGTGGCCCTACGCTGCACTGACTCCAACCTGGCTATATCCGTTCTGAAATGAGGGGCCCAAAACTGAACACAATACTCCAATTGCGGGCGCACCAGAGTCGTGTAGAGTGGTAGTAATAGTAATACCTCCATCTAGTAATCTATTCCTGTACTAAACAGAATCTCAAATATGGTGCAGCCCCAGGACGGGCAGACCTTAACCTCACTCCTCTTGCATGTTTCCGCTCACAACTGGTGCCCCCAAAGCCTGACAGAGTCTGTCTTCTGCACACAAGGGGGAGCTTCTCAGTGTGGCTCCTGTGGGCAAGCGCCCCAGTGTTCTGCTGCTGGAAAGGACTGGTTGATTCCTGCCTGGGGAAGCCGGGAGAAGGCTGCCCTCCAAAGGACAGGCTGCGGGAGCAAAAGAGGCTGTGGGAGGCACCTGGCCTGAGTCTGAATCCTCTCACATCCTCCCTTCCTGAACGTGCTTCAGGGTTGCGCCTGTTTCCAGAGGGCAGTGCGCATGTTGGCCTGGCAAGCAGCACCGTTACTGGCAGGAGCCTCCAGGATGAGCATCAGTCTTGGCACTCAGCCGGAGGCTTCCTGGCGGTGGGGGAATCTCCCAGTCCATTCATGTCCCTCCTCATGAAGCTCCTCCTGGTGCCTCCTGGTGGAGACGGTTTCTGTCCATCCCTTTGTGCCCTCAAGTGGAGGCACCGAACAGGACTGGGCAGGCGCATCTCAGGAGTGCAGAGCGACACCCACTGAGCCTTTCCCTCTTTCCCCTCCAGGATGTGAGAAGCATCTTGCAGAGGTGAGTGCGTCCCCCTCGTTTCCACTGGTGCAGGGAAGGGTCTGGACGGCACTGGGAGGACCGGCTGCTCCCGGCTCCTGAGCAGAGAACGCAGATACCAGTGTCTCTCAAGACAAAAACAGGGTCTGGCTGCTGAGTTTGGACCACTCCTTCTCCTTCCCCTCCCTCACGCACGGCGGAAGGCTCCTCTCTGCCAGCAAAGCACACCTCCCACCGCTAAGCTCATACATGCAGACCCCACAATCCAAATATCGCCCCCAAAGGGGCAAACTTCCCACAACCCACAAAGCACACGCAGTGCTGACCCTAATAACTGAACACAAGCAGACTGCCCCGTCTGCCCCAGTCAGCTGAAGCCCCGTCCACCTGTGGGGCTGCTGGAGGGTTCTCTGGGGGCCATTGCCCCACACAAAAGGAGGCCCACCTTTTGTTCTTGGCTGGCCCTCCTTTGCTCCCAGAGGGAATCCTGGGTTCGGTGAGTGGAGGTTACCTCTGTTTTCTCTGGCAGAAGTGAGGAGGAGCCCTGTGAGATCCCAGCGGCTTTCCCGCTGGAGCTGAAACGGAGGATCTGGGACTTCTTTGATCGAAAGCCTGATCTGGAGGGATGGAGGAAGCAATTCCCTGGAGTCATGAGTGAATGCAAAGGTATTAAGATAAGACTGGGAAGATCCTCTCCTTCTCTTGCTGCTGTTATAAGTGATGGTAAAAGCTGCAATGGGAGAATTTTGGTTGCCTGGCCACCAATTCACTAATGTTTTGTTGCCTTGTTTCCCCACCGGGAAAATCAGCTGGTGTGGAGAGGGCTTCCTGGGGGTTTTCATTCCTGCTTTGGGTTTTCACCACCTAGAAACTGGAAAGACTGGTCACGTCCTGCGCCTTTTCTTTAGCAAAGCCTCTAATGAGGTGCCCCATGAGATCTTCGTTGGCAAATTAGCTGAAAGAGGGGATCAGCTCTCAAGGGCGCCCACAGGTGGCCATCTTGGGTATTACAGAGAGTTCAGCGCTCCGCAGTTTCAGAAAGATGCAGACAGGCTGGGAAGGGTTGAGATGATCTGAGGACTGGAAACGAAGCCCCGGGGGGAGGGATTGGAAGAGCTGGGCCTGTTTAGCCTCAAGCGAAGAAGACTGAGGGGAGATAGGATGGCAAATATTTGAAAAGATAGCAAGAGGGGAGGGCCGAGATCTCTTTTTTATCATAAAAGGTTGCAGGACACGCAAGAATGGGCTCCGGTTAAGGGAATGCAGATTCCAGCTACATATCAGGAGCCTTTTGGAGACGGTTGGAGCAGTCCGACAGTGGAGCCAATGAGCCCGGGAGGTGAGGTCTGTCCCAGCCTGGAGGCAGCCCAGGTGCAGCTGGAAGCCCTCTGGGAGGGATGCTTCAAGAGGAGGCCTGCCCTCAGCAGGACGGTGGGCCTGAGGGCCCTCTTGCCCCTTCCAGTTCTACTAGTCTATGATTATTCAATTTCCACATAAATTTGGAATCTGGAGGGGTCATCCTGTAAGGTTGCTTGCTGGGAGCTGCATGGCAGAAGAAACAAAGCGTCACCTGTCCCCATTTCTGGCCCGCCCCCCTTTCTAGCTTGGGGTCCCCGTGTGCACCGGAAGCCCCACTGTGGCTTCCCCCTTTGCCAGCCTGCGGAGTGGGGGCCGCGGCTGCCCAGGAATTGCTGTTGGGCTACAGGCAGCGCCTGCGGTTCAGCCACGCAGGGAAGCCTGGCCAGGCGGATTCGCGGGACACTCTCCGGTTCTGCCCTTGCGGAATGGAAGGGGCCCCTTTACTTGTGAGTCGCACTTTCCTTCTTGCACTCCTTCTGCTCTGCCCATGAGTAGGGTGCCAAAGACAATCCGGGTGTCTCTGAACTGTGATGGGGGGCGGGTGGCCTTTTATGATGCTGACAGAGAGATGCTCCTCTACACCTTCTCCGGAGTCTCATGTGCAGGAGATACCCTCTTCCCCTTCTTTTCTGTTTCTGGGAATGCCCTCCTCAGGATCACTTCTTAAGGTCCCAGGAGCCTTCATGGCAGGCCCTCTGCAGACCGCAAAGATAGTCAAGGGCCCGTTTTCTACTTCTGCAGAATGCCCTGGAAAGCATTCTGGATCAGTCGCAGTCACCAGAATAAAGCCAACCAAAAGAGTGCCTGAATTCTCCGTCTCTTTTCTGGAGTTTCCTCTCCGGCTTGCTTCTCAAGGCGACAGGAACCCAATATCGTGACCCACAGGGATCTCCTCTCAGAGATATCGCCATGTCAGTGAATTCCTGGCCTTGTTTCAGATTTCCTTCCTCCTCCTCTCCTTTCCACNATCGTGATCCACAGGGACCTCCTCTCAGAGATACCGCCATGTCAGTGCATTCCTGGCCTTGTTTCAGATTTCCTTCCTCCTCCTCTCCTTTCCACAAGAACACCAATGCCTGCAAACTTTGGCAATACACGCCAGGCCAAAGCCAACCACTGTCCCTGACTTGCCTGCCTTCACTCACAGGCGCCGTCCCTGTTTGCTCTCTCAGAGCCACACTTGGCCTTTCAGCAGAAATCCCCACATTGGAAAGGTGGAGGAACAGGAAGGGAAGGTGCAACCTGCCAGGCATACCCCAAATTGCTGCCTCCAACACTCCTGGGAAACGGGAACGGGAAGCGGCATTGTGATTGGAGGGGGCCCTGCGTGGGAAGTGAGGGTGGCTGCCTGGGGGGCCCATGGGGGCCTCCACGTTTTCTCCTTGCGCTGGCTCCTTGCATTCCCACGATGGAACGTGCAAACCTGCATTGTCGTTCCCAGGATGCAGTCGGGAAATGGAAGAGCAACTGCATTGTGGTTAAACCAAGAACAAAGCAACAGGAGAGGCTGAATATGGTAGACAGAAGACCAGATTTCCCACTTTATAGTAGTACACACAATTTTTTATGTAAGTGCACATCCTCAGGTTCCCTGGATTTTGGGGATGCATCTCCCCTCCTTGTCTGCCACCCCTTCCTCCTCTCTTGCACACACCCCAAACCTTCCAGGGGTTTTTGCTTGCTGAGATGCAGACTCATGTCAGAGGATTACCTCCCTGTAGCTTGTGCCTGTTATTCTTCCGGCTGGAAATAGAGAAACCTGATACACCCGTCCCTCCATTCATTCATGCCTTCATCCAAAGGGAAAACGGTAAGCGTGCAATGATGGAAAGAATTAGCCTGCTGGGTAAGTGGCTGATGTTGGAAAAGGAACACCCCTACCGGGGGGGCGGCGGGGGGGAGGGATGTGCCTGCAACACGCTACTGCAGGTCCTGCTCCTTTACTCTTTGTGCTCTGCCCATTCTCCAGGAGGGCCAAAGGCTCTTCGGAGGAGGGGCTTGGCTCCTCTGGAATGCGTCCTGCCCTCCTCTGCAGGGGAAAATAGGTCTTTACCCACCTCCATGTTACACCCCCTCACCTCTATGTCACCAACCGATTCCTTCAGAGTCTCCTCCCGGTTGAAGGGACCCAGTTCCCTCAGCCTCGCTTCATGTGGCTTTCCCTGCAATCCAGCCACCATCCTTGTGGCCCTACGCTGCACGGATTCCAGCCTGGCTATATCCATCCTGTAATGTGGAGCCCAGAAATGAACACAATACTCCAGTTTTGGGTGCAACAGGGTTGTATGGAGTGGCAGCAATACCTCTCTCGATCTAGAAGTCACGCTTCTGGCTATGCAACCAAGGGGGGCGTTCGCCCTCTTGACCACCGCATCACACTGCTGACTCATGTTTAGCCTGCAGTCGACCAGCACCCCGAGGTCCCTTTCACAAGGGCTGCT